ATCGTTTTGAATCTTGTGGAGGAATGTGAGGCGCGTATCCCAGTTGTTCGCCGAGAATTATCGCGAATGCGCGAAGGTTATGTCGCTGAGCCGGTTCTCACAAATCAAGAACATGGCCACGTCTGGTGGAATTGCGATGCTTTCGTAGACTTTGCACACGTGTCGCAGAGGACCACGATTCGCTAACCGCGTCGTTGCTCTACCCCTCGGAATAATGCGGCTCCCCGTTTAGCTTACAGTGGCGGCACCGATTCCTAATGTCACTGTTTATGGGGTCCGTGATTCGCATGGCATCGAAACTGCTTTGTGCGACTGGAAAATTTGTCGCGTCGTAAATCGTGATGCAATGCCTGCAGGCTCGCACGGCCTTGATTCGGAACCTGGTGACTATATTCGCAGATCTCGCATGCTGGACACACTCGCGCACAGCCCAACGGGGAGGACGATTCGTCAGGCCCTCGCGAAGTCCCATGATGCGTCGTGCAGAATCAGGCAGACGAGGCGCGTGTCGCTCAACCATAACTATCCGTCGCAACGACTTGTCCCTTCCCACCACGATTCTGCGCGTCGAAATTCCTCACCCTCCTTCCCCCCCTTGCCCTTGCTCCTCTCCAAAATCACACCCGCCATTCATAAGTTCGAGAAGCAAGCATCATTGCAAAGCAAGCATCATTGCGAAGCAAGCAAGCCGACAGTGCAGTTGACTTTATCCCTGTAGTTGACTTTAGTGAGGCCAGGACAGCAGGGACAGCACCTAAAGCAACCCCCAGCTTCTCCAGCAGCCCGACGAGTTTATTCGTAGTGCTCGCTTCTGCTGTTAGGGAAGATCGTTGCAGGAAGTTTACTTGAAACCCTCACTTGTGTATGAGCCAGCATCGTTCTCGGCTCAGCCCCTCCCTGCTCACTCCGCGTCCGTCGGCAACTGCGAGCCAAAATGGTGCAGATCAAAGAATTGTAAGAAGCGTTTCTTTTACGTCGTTGCGTGTAATCTCGCCACTCCAATTCCGATTGGTTCTCAATCTTCTCGCTGCTTTGCGCGACGCGAACTGTTTGATTCTCGTCTGTGCTAGGAAGTTCTGCTTGTTTTTGTCGGAGTTTGCCATGGAGTGCTGTTGTCAAAAATTTCGTGCAAGATTTACATCTGACCTGTTTCGTGCTCCTGTTTCTGCTTGTTTCTTGTTTTGGTGTGGACCTCGGGTTACTCCCTCGCGTTTATCGACGGTTTTGTCAATGACAACGGCGCTGGCTGTGCGCTCGTCACTCGTGTCTCCTCACTCGTCTCTCGCCCGTGATCGCGTGTGCTCCATCCTCAGCCGTATCACCATGCCCTTTACTCTCGACGAGGTACGCTTACGTGAATCAACCGGCTCACTCGGCTTTTCTCGTCCATTCCAGCTCAACTCAGACCAGCGAGTGATGCACATCGAAGCAGATTTCTCTCCGTACCCTTACCACTCCGCATCCTCTCCATTCTCTCATCTTTTTCAGTCTCCTCCCTCCTTTTCTCCCTCACATTCCATTCTCAAATGTGCCAGTATCGAGTGGGGCAGACGTACATGCGGTCGCGAATGCAAATGGAGAACACCAAGGGGCGCGAGGGCATCGAGGTGATCGCAAGCGAGCCGTTTAAAGACGACGTCTTGGGCGAGGGGCACTTTTCGCACGTCGTCTATCACTTTCAAAGCCGCGCGCCCGCGTGGATCCGCGCGCTCGCCCCGGTCGAGGCGCTGCGGCTCGAAGAAAAGAACTGGAACGCGTTTCCCCGATGCCGCACGGAGATTAGCGTAAGCTAATATGGGGAAGGAGGGAAGCGAAAAGGGAAGGGGGCCCAAAAGGGGCGCCGAGAAACCAAGGCGACGCTACAAGCAAAACGTGGAAGCTTTTCCTGCGCGCTGATTGCTTCTCTACCTCGTTAATGACCGTGCTCCACCTCTCCTGTCTTCCCCGTTCGTTACAGTGCCCGTACTTCTCCAACTACAAGATCACCACCGACTCGTTTCACGTCGCCGACCGTGGCGAATCGGAGAACGTGAGTGTCGTGCACACTGTCGCAGGGTATTTCGCTTCCGGAGAAATTCTGAAGTCTGTCAGAAGCTCGAATGGCTCACATTGAACTTGCCGATGTGGGCTGGAGAGCACTGAAACATCCCAGAATGTTCTGCGTTTTTCTGTGTTCTTATCTTCGAGTGCGACCTGCGCTCTGACTGTTGCTCCTCAATCGACCATTCGTCTTGTCTCATCCCCATCCGCGTCGCCGCCAGGCGCTGAAGCTGTCGGAGGCTGAGCTGGAGCTACGCAAGGTGGACCACTTGGACATCGCGTCGGCCGACAGGGACATGTGGTCGCGAACCATCGCGCGGAAGCGCACCGACCCCTCCAAGATCGCCCTGCTTAAACTCAACCGCGGCCCGCTCGCCCCCGGATGGCAGGTAAGCGAATAAGCAGTCGGGTAACTACCCAGCAACAGCATTTGCTAGCTATTTTTCTCATAAAGGCTTTCACTCATGTTCGGTCTTCGGTTCCTCTTCCCTGTTTCCGGATGCAGGAAACGTGTCAGCCTGTAATGACGGTCTACAAGGTTGTACACGTGGACGCACCCTACTGGGGGATCGGTCGGCAGATGGAGCTCGCGACTATCGCGGTGAGTTCCGTCGCAGGGAATTCTGCCAGCTATCTCACTCAATCGGCTCTTGTTGCATCTCTTCGATAACTGCAGAAGTGGTTTTTTCCCGTGTCACAACTCTAGCGGGGGTATCTTCACTTGAAGCCCGCTCTAACTCTAATGAATCCCCATCCCGCCCTCCCCATCCCACAATCTCCCTCCGGATTCCGTTCAATTGCAGGCGCAACGCGCTCTTTACCTGGAGGCGCACAGGAAGTGCTATGGGTGGGCAGACGACTGGTGCTCTTTGACTGTGGCTGATGCACGGCGGATAGAGCAGGAGAACATTGACAAAATGCGAAAGGTGAGGGGTTGATGGTAACTTGGGCTTGTAACACGTGCTGCAAGCTTGCTGGTGACATACTTTCCTGGTTTTCTTAAATTCCTCGCAAGGGAGTATCACATGCGGGTGTAGCTTTCATTTGCATTGTGCATCTCTCTGGTCAATAATAAAAAAGCACTTCGAGAAACAATATCATCATCACCCTAACCGTCACCTTGTTTGTACATACACCTTGTGCCCACAGAGCCTTTCCTTGAGTGACCGCTTTGATGAAGAAGCTTCCAGCGAGTCAACAGAGGATGCAGAAGAGGGAGAGGAGGAAGAGGAAGAGGACATGTTCAACACGGTGGCACCCCTGCCTGCTGTTGCTTCTGTGGCTGCATAAGTCTACGGACAAAATAAGTCTGCATTGCTGCAAAGAGCACTGCCATGCCATGACGACTGTACACAAAGAGAGCACCAGCAGTGGCTGGGTGGAGACTGCAAGCTTGCAGTAGGTGCAATACTGAGTAGGCAATTGAGGTGGGTGGCAGCATGCCACAGCTTACGGAATGCACGATCACTGTGCTCACTCGCTGTAGGAGAGACAGTTTGGTGCCACGGATTTATTTTATGTAAAATTGTACTGCTCGCTTACGGGACCTCCTTAATATTCAGTACGAGAAACTGGGATGGATGTGCCATCTCAGGATGATATTGTTGGCATGGTCGGCTGATGTATAGCATTGTTGTAACCCCATAACAACAATAGCAGTGGAAAATGTACGGCCAAGCATTCAGCATGACACAGACGGGTGTTTGGGTGTCTTGTCTTGTCCTTCCCCTATTCCAGGGATTGTCGTTGACCGTAAAAAATAATGAACACATGTTTTTGAAAGCTGGCAGAAACTACGTTATGTTTTCTGTTCTTCATATTCTCACCATTTTACTTCTCATTTGTCATATGGTTCTCATTTATCGTATGTTCCCTATCTGAACAGCAACACCACATCCCTCGCATCCCTATCCATCAACATCAACCGCTGATTGCGACTACGTTTTTTATTTCGGCACGTCGTAACCCAATTACTGCAGTCGCTGAGACATCGTGCAGGACACCTCTGAGCGTCGTCGCATTGTGCGCAGATGTCGCGTACTAGTAACAAGGCACTCTCACAAGCACGTCAATTCGCGAAGCTCTCGCAAATGCCAGCCTGTGCAATTTGCAAATCCTACATTCGAAGCGCATGCCTTTCCACCAATCTACATCCGCTATCGTAACAGCTGGTCACTCGCTCGCCCTTCCTGCCACCTCAATCCCCCACCCCTCCCCATCCACCTGCTCAAATCTCTCCTCTTTCCCCCTCCCCCCCAGACCCCACCCTTGCTTTTCCTCATTCAACTCCATCCGCCATACAACATCTGTAGTGAGACGAGAATCTTGTTTGCTCTCCCATTCCCCCAACCAAGAAACCCAACGAAGTCTTTTCCGTCACCCAATCCAGTGCTCTTGACCAACGGCTGGAAACGAGAAACAGTAAAGCAACGCACCTTCAGCTCCTCGAGCACGGCCTCTCGAAGTGCTCGTTTCTTCTGCAAGGGTGTTGGAAGGAAGTGTCAACTGACTGGGAATCCTAGCAATTTCATCCAACGACCTTGCGTCCAACGCGGCTCAGCCCCATCCAGTTTCGCGCCGCGCCCGTCGACAACTGCTAGTCAGAATGGTGCAGATTATGGAATTGTGAGATGCAAAATGATTCTCCGGACGCGCTTCCTCGTTTACCCAAGCATCTGACTTGTTCCCCTCGTGCTTGTTTCTTGGTTTCCGCGGTCTGCGGGGTTCTCCCTCGCCGCGATGTCATTGTGGCGAGTTGATTTTGAGGCGACTCAAAAAATCTTTTTTTAAATTGTTCCCTCTTGCTTGTTCCTTGTTTTGCGTGGTCCCCGGGGTTCTCCCTCGCTGCGATGTCGTTGTGACGATATCGACGGCTCTCCGCGCTCGTCGCTCGCCTCTCGTCGCCTCGCCACCTCCCATCGTCCGTCCGTCGCGCGTGGTTCACCTGCAGCCTCATCACGATGCCCTTTTCTCTCGAAGAGGTACGCACACGCGCACGCGCAAGCATACTACCCATGCGCATACCATGGTGTTACTTTTGAAATGCGACGAGGTGCGGATGCCACTGGCATTCTCAAAAGTAACACCAGCGATGCCCTTTTCCCTCGACGAGGTACGCACACGCGCACGCGCACGCTCATGCGCATGCGCATGCCTATGCACATCTACCCTTCACTTGCCATTTATGAGATGCCTCACGGATCGTCTCACTTCATTTCACGGACAGGCGCACCCACCCTTCAACGCAAGCCGTACCTTTGCAGCTTGAGGCGGATAAAAACCCTATACTTCCTGTCCAACTAGACGCAAGCCACGCCAAGGCCAGTTTGCGGCGCTAAACAACACGGAACATTCCAACCAGTCCTATCCACGCAAGCCACGCCAGCCCTATCCTTCCTTTCTCTCAACCCCCCCGGTCCGTCACCCTCGCCTTCCGACCGACCTAGCACACCACCTCAAGTGGGCCGCACCGCACCCACGTGCACTCGCGCATGCAATCTACCTTCTCTCACCTCCTTTGTCTCTTTCCTAACTTCCCTCCTCACACCCTCCACGTACATTATCGCATGTGACAGTATCACGTGGGGCACACGTACATGCGGTCGCGCATGCAGATGGAGAACACCAAGGGGCGCGAGGGCGTCGAGGTGATCTCTAGCGGGCCGTTCAGAGACGCGGTTCTGGGCGAGGGGCACTACTCGCACGTCGTGCACCACTTTCAGGGCCGCGCGCCCGCGTGGATCCGCGCGCTCGCGCCGCGCAAGGCGCTGCGGCTGGAGGAGAAGAACTGGAACGCGTACCCGCGCAGCCGCATGGAGCTCCGCGTACGCGTGCGGGGGAAGGGACGAGAGAGGGAAGGGGGGGAAGGGTGAGAGGGGAGGGAAGGGGAGGGGAGGGGAGGGGAGGGGTGTTGAGAAACCAAAGCTGCATTTGTAATGTACCGTGGAGTGGTTGGTTTACCTAATTGTGTCGACTCACATATTGCTTTGCTTCTCATACCTCGTGCGTGGGTGCGTTCTGATCCGTTCTCCACATCTCCTGTCGCCCCCTTTCTCCACCTTCCCCCCCCCCCCCCCCCGACAGTGCCCGTATTTCACCAACTTCAAGATAGTCGCTGATACGTATCACATCGCTGACCGAGGCGACACGGAGAACGTGAGTGTTGCACGTCTTGGGTTTAGGATGCTACTCGCCAGGGATAGGCGTACAGGTCTGGAATGCACAAACCTGAGAACGTGAGTGTTGCACGTCTTGGGTTTAGGATGCTACTCGCCAGGGATAGGCGTACAGGTCTGGAATGCACAAACCTGAGAACGTGAGTGTTGCACGTCTTGGGTTTAGGATGCTACTCGCCAGGGATAGGCGTACAGGTCTGGAATGCACAAACCTGACAAGCCTACTAGATGACAGATGAGAAGCAGACAAGCAGTGTGAGGCAGCGTGGGTAATTTCTTCTGCTTCTTGTGCATCCCAAACTCTCACGAGATGACTTTTGAGTCGACTCAAAAGTCATCTTGAGCATCCCAAACTCTCACGTTCCACCATTACCTTACCTTGCGCTCCTCTTACCTTGGTTTGCTCCTCAAACACACCTCCCTTTCCCCCCCCCCCCCCCCCCCCCCCTCTCAAGCCCCCCCTCCTCCGCCCCCGCGCCCTCCCCTCCCCTACTCCCCCATTTGTCTCGTCATCCTCTTCTCTTCGTCCTGCAGGCGCTGAATCTGTCAAAAGCTGAGCTGGAGCTACGCAAGGTGGACCACTTGGACATCGCGTCGGCCGACAGGGACATGTGGTCGCGCATCATCGCGCGGAAGTGCACCGACCCCTCCAAGATCGCCCTGCTTAAACTCAACCGCGGCCCGCTCGCCCCGGGATGGCAGGTAAGCATGAAGGGTAATTACATGGCTTGCTATTAGCTTGAATGTGCCTGCTCGTCTTGAACGGAGTTTGACGACCAGTGCGATTCGAGATTCGAACATCGTTCCCACCCGTTCCTTTCCGCGAGCAGAAAACGTGTGAGCCTGTGATGACGTCGTACAAGGTGATACGAGTGGACGCGCCCTACTGGGGGTTCGGCCGGCAGATGGAGCTCGCCGCAATCGCCGTGAGTGCTGCCGCGTTGAGTCGAGTGCTGTCTCGTCGCCGTCGCTGCGCTGATTTCATGCGATTGATGCAATGCTTGCTGCCACCGTCAGAAACACCTTAATGGTCGTTTTTCCTATCCTAACGCCCTCCTCTCTTTCTCCGCATCCACGGCTCCCTCCTTCCTCTTTCCCACTTCCCCCTTCCCTCTTCCCCTTCCCCTCTCTCCCCGCGCTCCCCCATTCGACCTCAGGCACACCGCGCGCTTTACCTGGAGGCGTACAGGAAGTGCTATGCATGGGCGGACGAATGGTGCGAGCTGACTGTGGCGGACGCACAGCGGATCGAGCAGGAGAACATCGACAAAATGAGAGAGGTGAGAGCGCGGAGTAACATCCGCTTGTAACATTTGTTACAGCTTTTAATTAGTTTATGCTCTCCTGGGCATCCCAAGCTCGTCTCATGAACCACCAAAGCATATTACAACCCTTATTTCTATCATATAACGTTTTTTCCTGGCGCACTCATTCCCACCCTCTGCCCACATCAGAGCCTTTCTTTGACTGATCGCTCAGATAATGAAGAATTTAGCGATGCAGTGGATAGTGACGAATTTGGCGATTCAGTGGAGCGTGAAGAATTCAGCGATGCAGTGGAGGATGCAGTGGAGGGTGCAGTGGAGAGGGGGGGGGGAGGGAAGGAAGCAGAGGGTGTGTTCAAGTCAGTAGCAGCTCTACCTGCTGTTGCTCCTGTGGCCGCATGACCATGACAACCGACAATAACAGCTCCATGGCGATGCAGATCGGTCCACGCCATGAGCTTTCCCATTGCCATCACTGTAAATTGTTAAGAGCTCAACAACGGTGGCTGCATGAACATGGCAACGGACAACAGCTGCATAGCGATGTAGACTGAGCTATCTAAGAGACCATAAGCTTTTCGATGGCGACTATTGTGTACAGTTAAAAAAGGTTACGGAAAGTGGTTACGATGCACGCTCTGTTATGGCATAAGCTTGCAGTGGTTGCACCACTGTGCAAAGTTGCGAAGATACACCCCTCTGCTGTTGGGCTGAGATAGCCCCTTAGGATCTTTGCAAGGGATAACTCTAGGTGAAGTAGTTGTAATAGCGGAAGCGTTTAGTGAAGAATTTGAACCGACCTTGCACTGGTGTGTGAGAGCAAAGTTGATTGAATTAAGCAAGCAAATACAAGGATTTATATAAGAGTACAGGGAATACGAATAGATATGTAGATAACTGTATTGCTGTTGCGGTTCGATACAGTGCGACTCGGGCAACTGCTCTGTAACGAGTCAGTTGTGTGTCCTTAACTGTCGCGCTGTAATTGTCGAGTCAAAGGTCAGCGACCTTTGACTTTCTCGTAACCTCCAGGCGGTTACCCTAACCTCCGAGGTTGACTCGATGCTTCGATTGGGACTGCTTCGCTTGGTGCCTTGGGTTTTGATACGACAGAAGCGCACTTAGGACTTATTGTTTCCAACACTCCCCTTCGCTTCTGGAGTGTCGCTGCTGGTGACGTGGCCTTGTCCAGTCAGCATCATGCAGTATTCGAACTACTGCTTTCCGAGTTTCTTGGTCAAGTAATCGGCTGCCATCTCGGATGTTGGGCAGTATGACAGATCGAGTTTCCCTTTTTCTATCTCGTCCTTCACGAAGAAATAGCGCAGGGCGATGTGTTTCGTCCTGTTTGCGAAGCCGTTTTTGTTGGCGATGCGAATTGCTGACTGGTTGTCGCAGAACACGGTGAAGCTGGGTAACTCGGCTAGCTTCGCTTCTTCCAGTAGTTCGCGAAGGTAAAGTCCCTCCTTGGTGGCTGAGCAGAGTGCAATATATTCTGCTTCTGCTGAAGATAGTGCGATTAACTCCTGCTTGCTCGACTGCCAGGAGATAGGACCGATAGGCTCAAGGCGGTAGACATAGCCGGTGCGTGAGCGCCTGTTGTCGGTGTCGCCGGCGTGATCGGCGTCGACGTAGCCGATTAGCTTAGTTGGTGTAGCTGCGCTCTTGTGGTAGGTTAGCCCGATCGTCGCGGTGCTGACGAAGTAGTGGAGAGCGCGATCAAGTTCCGCCAGGTGTTCAGCTTCAGGCTTCTTGAGATAGGTGGCGAGCTGACTTGCGGAGTAGGATAAGTCAGGACGGCAGGTGACGGCGGCGAATAGCAGGCATCCGAGTTTCTTCTGATAGTCGCGTATGCCGGCGGGCTTGAGTAGAGTAGTTCGTTCCTTCTCGGTTCCTGATGTGTAGCGGTAAGGCGTGGAGATGGCGCTTGGTGTGAGGCTGAAGCGTTTCGCGATGGTGTCGGCGTATTTCTCGGCGCTTAGATAGATGGCGTTTTCTTCTTCGCGGATGTTGAGCCCGAGGTACTGTGTAACGGTGGAGGAGACCGTGAGCGTGAGGTCTTTCTGGAGCTCTCCTTCGAACCACGTGGCGATGCCGTCGGTTGACCCAATGTAGAGGAGATCGTCCACGTAGACGATCAGGAGAACGTAGTCGCTTCCTTTAGTGAGGCGGTACATGCCTTGGTCGTGAGGTAGTTGACTAAAGCCGATGCGGATGAGACGGGCGTGCAGGTACTGCTGCCACAGTCGCGGTGCCTGCTTGATCCCGTAGAGCGACTTAAGTAGTTGACAGATTCGGTTGGGTTCGCCGTGGGAACCGTGCGGGAGCTCGACGTAGATTTCTGCATCCACAGGTGCGTAGAGGAAGGCATTCGCGACGTCGATCTGCCGTAACTTCTTCTTCTTCATGGCGGCAATGGCGAGGAGAATTCGGAGTGACGTGTGGCGGCTGACTGGAGCAAAGGTCTCGGTGAAGTCTCGTCCTTGCTCTTGGTCGAATCCACGTACGACCCAGCGTGCTTTGAATTTTTCGATTGTGCCGTCTGCTTTCGTCTTGATGCGGAAGACCCATTTCCCGGTAAGGATGGTTTTGTTCCGTGCCACGCTTACGGGAACAACCTTCCAAGTGTTGCGTTCCTCTAATGCCTTCAGTTCTCTATCCATGGCTTCACGCCATTTCTCCCTGTGTTCCCCCCCCAGAGCCTGCTGAACCGTTGCAGGCTCCTTAGGAAGCGAGCTGCGTGTGTTCCCGTGGACTGCGGTGACGAGGCCGAGGATTTGCAGCCCAGTCTGTGAGTATCGAGGGAGTTCTGGATCCTCGGGATAACCTGCTTCGTCTCCCGCTTCTGGATCAGGGATGAAATTCGGTCCTATCCTTTCCGCTTCATTTGTGTTGACGGTTGCAGGTGTTACGTAACCGGTGTCGGCGAAGTGGTAGAAGACTTCGGCGTTGTTACTGTCGCGAGGATTTTCTTCGTCCATGGGCACGTTGACGGAGCAGTACGGGAGAGGTCCGGCTTCTGCCGATGCGTTGTCAACATTCTGCTCGTCCCAGTCTGCTTCATCCGCTGCTGACGCGAAGGCTCGGTCACCACGAAAACCACTGGTGAGATCCCGATTCTCGTGCAAGTTGGCGAGGTACGTCTGAAGGGTGAGTCTTTCGTAGAAGATCACGTCACGTGCTGCTACTGTTTCCTTTGTGTGGACGTCGAAGATTCTCCATGCGTTGTAATTTTTCTCGATGCCGAGGTGTAGTCCCCACTGTGCCCGTTGCGAAAATCTTCCCGCTCGTGCTTCTGGGGGTTTGTACTGTACCATGCACCCGAAAACTCGTAACATTTTCGTGCTGCCCTGCTTCCCTGTCCACAGCAGATGCGGTGATGCGTTGTTCGGGAGTGACGACGACGACAACAAGTTGTGCAGCATGACAGCGTGGTCCATTGCTGCTGGCCACTGGTGGTTGGGTAGCCGCATGCCACGTAACAGTTTGCGCATGCTGTTCTGCAGGGTCCTGTTCAGTCGTTCTGCAACACCTTGCTACTGATGTGCGTAGGGAAGGGAGAGGAGTTGCTTGATCCCCCTTTCCGCCAAGAACTGCTTGAAGCGGTGAGAGGTGTACTCGCCACCTCCGTCTGACTGGAAATTTTTCAGTTGTGTTCCAGACTCTCTCTCTGCTATCGGTAGCCAGGCGGCGAATGCTGCGAGCGCCATGTCGCGGCTGGGTAGGTTGCGATGCCAGACGTATCGAGTGGCGGCGTCGATGAAGGTGATGGTGTAGTTGTAGTTGACTTGTCCTGGTTCGCGATTGTAGAGGATGTCGCTGTAGACTTTTTCGAGTGGTGCGTACGCTGGAGCGCTCGGGTTGTGATGTGAAGCAAACGGTCGATGAGGTAAGTCAGCTTCGGGACATATAAGGCAAGTCCCTCGTGCCTTCTGGAGTTCTCTGCCATCGGGTAGAAGTAGAGAATCTTTGTCAAGGACTCCTGCTCTTATCGTGTTATTCAAAACCGTGTTGCTTGGATGTCCTGTTCGTGCGTGCCAGATCTCTTCAGAGGCGCGGTGTCCAGGTGAACGCTGATATGCGTCGGAGTTGGAGTAAAAGCTGGCGACGAGGTTGGCGCTTCGGTGGACTTCACGTTGAGTCGGATTCAGCTGTTGTGGGGGTGTTGGTGGTGCTTCGTCGACTGTGACTGGTGTCGTTGTTTCTGCTGCTGCTGATGTTGTTGCTGCTGCCGATGTTGTTGCTGCTGATGCCGATGTTGTTACTGCTGCCGATGTTGTTGCTGCTGATGCCGATGTTGTTACTGCTGCCGATGTTGTTGCTGCTGATGCCGATTGTCAAATTGTTGCTAATGCTCGTGTTCGTTCTGCTTCAGGAATGGTGTGCGAGTACCAGAAGCCTCCCGGGCTGAAGTCGGGGTCGAGATCCGGAGGGTGTGTCCAGTCAGTGAAATTCACGATGGCGTCGCTGTCTGCAGTGCCCAGGTCAGGAACGAAGTCGAGGACGAAGACGTTGTTCTTCAGCACTGCTTTTCCGATGTAGAGACCGCCTCTCCCGTGGTAAAGCTTGAACTCCTGGGTCGTGCTGTCGGCTTCCAGATGAATTCCTTTCGCCATCAACTGGCTAACGCTCAGTAAGTTGTAACCGAGTCCTTCAGCGATGAGTACCTTAGACATGTGCAGTATGACGTTTGTTTCTCTTGACTGAAGCTGTACCACTCCTTGTCTTCGTGTGCGCAGGTTTTGGTTGTTGGCAACCGTGATGATTACTTCCCGTTGGAGTCGATGTTCGCGTTGTACGAAACGCCCGGACGAGCACATGTGTTGCCCGCAGCAACTGTCCAAGAACCAGGTGTCTTGGCCGGACGGTTCACTTTGAGCGATGGCAGCGTACGTTGGATTCGGCTGGAGTAGCTCACGGCGAGGCGTTCTGTTGTCAAGCTCTTCTTCCGGTGAGTAGTGTGGTGGTGATTCGGTTGTACACGAATCGGTTATCTTCGTCATGCAGTTGATTATATTTCTTGCTCCTCGTGCAGGTTGTCCGGGTGAAGTCGTTGAAGCTTGAATAGTGGTCGTCGCACTTGCTTGTGTTGAAGCCATTTGGGAGCTTGAAGGTCGAAGTTGTCGCTGTGGTGCCGTTGATTGCTGACGATTCGGGCAGTGTGTGCGCGGGTGCCCTGAAGTCTTGTAGATGTGGCAGAAAGGAGGTACTATCTTCGGTTGCTGCTGTCGGTTGTTATAATTGCTGTGTCGTCGTTGAGTGTGGAATGCGAACTCTGATACTGTCGTTTTCTTCCTGTGTCGTTCTTCCTGCAGGTCCATATCTTGCTGCTCGGCATGTATTTCGGCGCAGAGTGCAGCTTCAGAGATTCTTCCGTGGGCTCGAAGAATGGCTTTGGTGGC